CTTAATATAAATTGTTGACTTTAGTTAATAAAAATGTATCAATATTGGGTCATCAATTTTAACAAATATACCACGGTAATGTATGATGTCGATTATATGAGAAACTGTGTGTGAAGGCATGAATGAGTATATGATAATTCTTTGTACTTGCTACCGAATTTTGCTGTAAACTTGAAAACTGCTCTAAAAAATAAAGTACGTCAATTAAAAATCCCCCCCTCATGTTATATATTTAGAGTAGTTTGTTTTCCTGGAACAATCCATGAATATTAGCAATTTGCCAAATATTTTTATTGACTTTCAAATCTGAAACTCTTTCACCCTCTTAAAAAAAATAGCCATTCTGTTACTAGTAGTTAACTTTGTTCAAGTGTCTTCTATCATTAAGTAATATATAACACAACACAACAAACCATGGATCTTTAAACCTCCTTTAAATAATTCTCTGTTTCTGACTTACATAATTTTTATACTCCAGAGTTTTGTATGCATAAACAAGTACACACAAAATATATACCTATTTTTATATTTATATGTTCAAAATATTATACAGCAGAGATATATGTTTAATTGTAGAAAAATTGAGCTCTACACATAAAGTTCCATTAGCATAGCCCAAGCGGTACTTACAGGGATATTTATTGCATTAAATAGATTTACTATAAAAATGTTTGAAACATCCAAACAATTCCAAAAGCTAGAGAATGAATAGCATATTAAACACAAACAAGAAGAAGGTAGGAAATAATTAAAATAAATGCAAAAGCGATAAATTAGAAAATAGTCAAACCAACTAGTAAAAGCCAGTTCTTTGAAAGGATTTACATAACAATGTGTATGAGTATTATCAATTACAAATGAAGGAAGCAGAAGTAAATGATAGTAGATAAGTATAATTCTACAAAACTTAGGTGTAGAAAAGATTTAATGCTAATAGGAAACACTAAGTATTATCTGTATCTCAAGGTAACAAATGATGGACAAAGACACTGTTCTACCTAAAGAATTTCAGGTAATAAACTCAAAAGAATTTTAGAGTTTGAGAATTACCATCTTGCAACCCATAATAGATTAATGGATGAAAGCGATGGCTGCCAACATCATCACAAAGGAAACAACAGAAATTATCTATCTCTTAGTGAAATTGTACCATGTCACCTCTGGAGTACGCTTTCCAATAAACTTTAATATGAACAATATTGTACTTATAAAAATTGAAGTTTGTTAATGATAAATGTTAGCTAATTGAGTTCATTATTCTCTGTACTACTGCATATACTTGAGAATTTCCAAAATAACAGGCTTTTATTATGAATATCATGCTTTTAAATATGAAAACTTATGTAAAATAGAACAATTTTTAGCAAAACGGAAATGACTAAAATGACCCATTAAAAAAACAACTCTTTGATTGTATAGTAAAACTGAAACTATAGTCCAAACCCAAAGTACCATCAAAGTGTTTTGGGACCAGCCAGGTTTAGAGACCAATTACACCAAATGGTGAAAAAGAAACTGATCATCACCTCATATAAAGTCTTCTAAACAACACGAAAAGACTGGGAGAATTACTCCATCATTTTACCAGACTTGTATTCTTTGATACAAAAACAAGATGAAGATATTCCAAGAAAGTAACATTTTAGACAAGTTCATTAACAGAAGACAAAATATTCTCAATAAATTCACAGTACATCCAATATAGGCATATCCAATATAGCAGTGAATTAATGAATAAATAGCCTGCATCCAAGAATTGCAAAGATGATATCACATTAGGAAATACCATCAGAAGGAAATCACTGTTACCAAAAATGGTGAAAAAACATGTGATCATGTGCAGGGGTGAAGAAAGGGCCAAAACAAAAACAAACAAAAACACTCAACCCCAGTGCATGATAGCAACTTTTAGCAAACTTACATCAGGAGAGAATTTCCATCCTGTAAAATCTGTAATTGATATTCTAAATGTGAAACATTACAAACATCCCAAAAAGAGTCCAGAAGAATACACACCTGTATAGTATAAACCCTACTGTTGACAATTGGATGAAATACATCTATAGTCCACAACTATAAAAATAATAGTGAGTAAATTAGAGGTAACAACAAAAGGAGATAATTGTGAAAACAATAAACTCTCCTGATTTAAAAAAGAAAACAACATAATTGGTGCAAAAATTATTTCAATGTCTAAGGAAATTATGAAAATGTGTGTACAAAAGATCACTATAGGTAAGGAGTACAGTAACACAAAAACCAATAACTAATTATATCATGTAATGTGAAATATACCTTTCACAACAGCAACAATATCCAAAATACATGTAATAAAAAATCAAATAGAAATGTACATGTTCATTAAGGAGACAGCCATAAAAATGTTCTGAAAGACTTAGGAAAAGGAAGTCTCCAATAAAGGAGTATACTATATATATTTACTCTAGAGAGGATATTGTAAAGATGTTGATTCTCCTTTAATATCATACAGATTCATTGCCTCAAACCCAGGCTGTTCTTTCTCATGACCAAACTGAACCCTGGAAAAGTTAAAGGAAGAATTTAAAAAAAAAAAAAAAAAACATTAACAACAGCAAAACAACAAAAATGAGACCCCTGAGAAACAGTAATTTTGTATTGAACAAGAACTGGTGTGTGGGCAGATAGGGGCATGTGGTGAACTAGTGACAGGTATGAACTCTACAATAGAAGGAGACAACAGAATTGGCTAGAGGAAAAGTTTTAAAATATCGGTCTTTGCTTCCTTCATTGTGCCATGGTTCAATGCATTTGTTTTTGTGCTTCACTAAAGGAAATTCAGTCAGGAACTCAGACCCCATGTGCCAGTTCCATGGGGTAATACTGGGACAGCAAAAACATTTGGATAGGCTGAAGAAGTATGAACCCAGACAATGTGCTAATAGTACCTAAAACCTCTTTAGTGGAAGAGGTCTGGCCTTTAAATTCATACTATTCTAATATAAAGAATGGACTAAATGAGAATACCAAATATTGCAGTGAGTCATGAATATAATATTTTGTATTCTAGTTTACTCCATTCTTTATATTAAAGATATATTTGTACCACCTGATAGTGGTACAAATGCATTCATGAAAATTTGAATACAGACACTGATGTCAGCTAAGAGAGAGATGCCAGACACAGATGCCAGGCTAAGAAGTCCCCTCACTTTCTCCTTAGGAATTGTACAGGACATAGTCGGAGGAAGGGGATGGATTCATATGAGAAAATGGAGAAAACCAAGACCCTGCCAGCAGTTAATGTGAGGACCCTGAGTGAGGAGTGAGGGGCTCCACAGCTCGGAAGAGACAAGAGTGGCCCCAGAATCTCCCTTCTTCCTCAATCTTGCATCACAACTTAATAGCAGCAGCCTGGTCTATGATGCCCCAGGCAGTAGTGGTCAGGTGACGTATAACTGAATTACGCATGAGGAGTCTCAGGAAGTTGAAGTCTCGTGTGAGAGGGTGTCCTCAAGTCAGTAGAGGGTACATGGCAAGAATGAAGCCAAAGCACTCTGTGAGGGCTGAGGGCAAACTCCATTCCGGAAGAGGGGCTGCCACAGAGCCCCTCCCCTACTGTCAGTCTTGGAAGGTCCCAGCATGGCTTCCGGTCTTGGGCTCTACCTTACTTCCTACTCTGGACTCTAGGAAATGAGATCCTTGATCTCCGGTTGACTGATTTAGCTCAACAGACAGAGAAGTCCAAGGGTCCACAAAGAGCCCCTGAAAAAACTTTATGTGAGTTCTGGGGAATCTGCTGTGCCCACGGGGAGAGTGACAGAGCCCCGCCCCTGCTGTTACGCTGGGAATGCCAGGTGGGGGTGACCGGAAGTGGTTCCCCCTGACTTCCGCCTAGAAAAGAGGCTGGGCCCGAAGCCTTCATCTGTAAAGTGCTGTGTCACCTCAGCGGCGTTCCAGATCTTCTCAGCTGTTTTGGTGGGTATCCTGACCTAAAACTGGCGGTAAATGCCCCGACAATCGCAACCCCTTTCCCCCTGAAAAAAGAAAAAAGCAGCTCCACAGAGCTCTGTCCCATCTCGCCCCTGAGCCGGTCCCTGAGGAGTCCGCAAGCATGGCCGCTAGGCCCAAAGTGCATTCACTTTTTCCGTCGGGTTGAACAGCATGAAGGCCTCAGTCCAAGACTGGTGGACTCAGGTCAGGAGGGAGAGAAATCTCAGGTACTCCATAATTAAAAGAGAATCCTCCTTAAGATTGAGGGGACTCCATGCCCCAGAATGGGGTGACACCAAACTCTGCTGCTGAGGTCAGTCTGGGGTCCCGGCAGGTCCCTAGAGACTGAAGTGCATTCTCACTTTGTTCCCGTGGGCGTCAGAGAAGTAGGGCCCTGGTTATAAGGAGACGGCAGCAGGTCAGCGAGGGCAATTTCCAGATTGTGGGAAGAGTCGGAGTGAGGAGTCTGATTACCGTGGGGACAATTCTCACTAAAACAGCAAGAGCACTCAAATCTCTTCAGTACTGTCAGCCCTAGGTGGTCTGAGTGACCCCAGAGTGAAGTGTTGGGCAGAAGTGCTTCTTTATTCCCTCCTCATTAGTATTGTAAAAATTTCTAGTGTCAATTTCAGAGCTGCAGAAGGGAATGGGCCTCTGGGTCTTGCCAACAATGTTTATGATGAGCCTGAATATAAATAGAGAGGATCGGACCCCTGAATAGAGCGGTCCCCACTGCCAGCCCCTGCTGTCACCTCAGTAAGCCCCAAAATAGGCTGTCATGCTATAGTCTAATACTCACTCTAACTTCCTCCTGAGTTCGAACTAGACAAAGTGACCAGGAGAACAGGAGTCCTGTGATTTCCTAGGGCAGTTCTTTCGCAGAAACCTGCAGAAGGGGCCCTGGTTAAAGTCAAGATGGTTGCTCTCTGGTGAAGCTGTTGATGTGATGTCACTCTCTCCCGTCCAGGTGCCAACCTTTTCAGCCTTCTCACTCACACTACTACCTGCTGTCACCAGCCATAGCCATCATGCCTCGGGGTCAGAAGAGTAAGCTCCGTGCCCGTGAGAAACGCCGAGACATCCATGGTCAGCCGCAGAGTCTCCCGGGTCCTCAGACCACTGTAGAGAAGCAAAAAGAGCCCCCCACTTCCACTATCTCTTCTGATTATCGGGGTGCTCATCCTAAGTCTTCTGATGCCTCCGTTCCTCAGGAGTCTCAGGGAGCTTCACCCACTGGCTCTCCTGATGCAGGTGTTTCATGCTCAAAATCTGATGTGGCTGCCAAGGGTCAAGATGACAAAAGTGCAGGCACCTCCCCTGATGCCTCCGTTCCTCAGGAGTCTCAGGGAGCTTCACCCACTGAATCTCCTGATGCAGGTGCTTCATGCTCAAAATCTGATGTGGCTGCCAAGGGTCAAGATGACAAAAGTGCAGGCACCTCCCCTGATGCCTCCGTTCCTCAGGAGTCTCCCCCTGATGCCTCCGTTCCTCAGGAGTCTCAGGGAGCTTCACCCACTGAATCTCCTGATGCCGGTGCTTCATGCTCAAAATCTGATGTGGCTGCTAAGGGTGAAGATGAGGAGAGTGCACACGCCTCCCAGAGAGCCATGTACTTCAAGAGCTTAGGCCGAGATCCTATAAACAAGAAGTCGTGGGAGTTGGTGCAATTCCTGCAGGAGAAGTTTGAGAAGAATGAGTCCATTTTGAAGGCAGACATGCTGAAGCTTGTCAGCAAAAGGTACAAGGAGTACTTCCCTGAGATCCTCAAGCAAACCTCCGAACATCTGGTGGTGACCTTTGGTGTTGAATTGAAAGAAATTGATTCCAGTGGTGAATCCTACACCCTTGTCAGCAAGCTGGGCCTCTCCAGTGAAGGAAGTCTGAGTGGTTATAATGGGCTGGCGAAGTCGGGTATCCTGATGTCGGCCCTGGGTTTGATCTTCATGAAAGGCAACCGTGCCACAGAAGAGGAGGTCTGGGACTTTCTGACCTTCCTGGGGATCTCCTCTAGGATGACACATCCACTCTATGGGGATCCTGAGAAGGTCCTTACTGAAGATTTGGTGCAAGCAAAGTACCTGGAGTACCGGCAGGTGTGCAACAGTGATCCTCCACGTTATGAATTCCTGTGGGGTCCACGAGCCCATTTTGAAACCAGCAAGATGAGAGTCCTGGATGTTTTCGCCAAGATCAATAACACCGTCCCCGGGTTCTACCCACATCTGTATGAAGAGGCTTTGGTAGATGAGGTACAGAAAGCATTGAGAGTGAACTTTTAAGGCAGGGCTGGTACGGTTTCCTTGGCCAGGGCACCTTACGGGGCCACATCCTACAGATCCTCCCATTTCTAGGGAGGTCTGAAGTAGAATTTTTACTTGATGTTAGAGGAGAGTAATGAGCCTTCTAAATAGTGCAGTATAGTAGAGGCTGGAGGGAACAGGACGTGTTTCTTTCTTTTGTCCTGTTACAGATGAGTAATTTGTAGATTTATGTTTTGCTTTCTTTGTCAATTTTCAAGATTGTTCCTGTTAAGTGAAGGTTTATATTGCTTCAGATTATAAATGTGTCAGTAACTTAGCTTTCACATTCATGGTTGTTTCACCAGTTTGAAAGTTATGGTTGTGGTATTCATAAAACAAATCTTACAGCGTTCATATTTTTGTTATAATTCAGAACTAGATAAAATGGTAATAGAGGAGGGATTTTCATATCAATCTTAATGAATTCCATAGGAAAATAGTTGACATCCTAATATGATTAGAAAGAAAAATAAAAAGGAAATGTAAATGTTCCTTAATTCTTGGTTTGCCTTATTTTTTTTTCCTATTTATTTTAGTTTAAATAAAGGATACCTGGATTTATTCAGGTTCTTAAAGACTGCTGTTAGTGTGTTTTCTTCTAACGCACTGCATATTCTATGTTATTGACTGTATCAAAAAGTCTCTCTGGTTGGAGGGAGGTATTTTCTGTGTTTAAAATAATTATATGAAGTGCAGCGATCAATATAAGCCTGAATGAGTTCAGTAAAACCCTTTTTGAAATGAGGCTGCTAAATTCAAAGAACTTCCATAGGCTTAAATTGTCTCAAATATTTTCAACATGTGGTAATTTTGTTTCTGAATATATCATTAGGAAAATTAAAAATTAATGCTATTATGTAAAAACACGTGATGGCAACTGTCATTTATTAGATACTCAGTATTTCCTACTTAGTAAGCCATATTTCTTATAGACAATACTTATACCCCAAAATTCCAACAAGATAGGGTTTAGCAGACTAACTTCAGAAATGACTAAGCAGCCAATTTCTAAAAGTTCACAGGCTTCTAATTTACAGAGCTGGAATTAGGTCTCTGGTCTGGATTCAACTAGGGCCCACATTTTTGCAATCCTCTCAGCCTGAGCCAGATGTTGTTATCTTTCAATTCATTTTTCCTTTCACTGCCCAAAATGTTTATCAGAGCATTAAAAGGACACAGTAAACAAAGCAGTTCTGTGGAATACACAGCGTAATAATAATGCTGAATACATGAGTAGTATGAAGAAAAAATAATATTCAGTGACAATATGATTATCTTCATATGCAATATCAGATAACCTGATAAGATCAGGAGCTCCCAAAATCATCCTGCTCTGCCCTTTCCCCATAGAAATTAAATCTACTCAAACCAAGATACCTAATATGCTAAGTCTGGTTGGTGAAACAAAGGAATAGATAAGTGTGTTTTTTTCACTGACAGCCCACTATCTGTGCTGGGCCTCCTGGCTTGTGGTACAGCTTCACTATTTCATACAAAACCTGGGACAGGGAGCCACTGTCTGCAAGGTTTGCAGTAGAGAATCTGCTCAATTATTTGCAAGTCTGTGACATTTCTCAGCAGTCTTAAAGCTAAGGGAGGCAAGATGAGAACCCCGATCAATGAGGATTCTGGAGACCAATGCCTCAAAATATAGGGATCACTGAGAGAGTAGGCCCTGCCTACTCTCAGATCTGGAAGGCCCAAGCTATAGCTGTAAGCTAAAATTTCTCTATTCAAGTTTCTCAGGTACTTAAGAATCCTGGTCTAAGGGTGGTGTGCTCCGGTTAGTGGGAAGAGGACATCAGACTCTGAAAACTCTCAAGATGAGGACTCTGAATGAGAAATGAGTAATGATCCACCCAGAACAGTAGGAGTTCTTAAAACTATATCCTTCTTTCTGCCTTCAGTGGCCCTGGGCACAGATATCTAGTTGAGGTTCCCCCTCACTTTCTCTAGGTCTTCTACTGATGCCTCAGAGAGAGAAAGGCTTTGATCTCATGGCAGTAGCTCTGATTCTGTCCATGAAGGAGATCCTAACAAACCTGGATTGTATTTAAGGTGAGGACGATGGAGTAGCCACAAAGTAGCACCCTGACTTCCCCCTCTCATTTCTCAGGAAAGGGCAAGCTTTGGCTTGAGGCTGACAGACTCAGATTAGTAGAGGAGGGAGTGCTACATGCCCTAATCAATGTTAGAAACCTGAGTGAGAACTGAGAGAGCCACTGACTCCAAAACAGTGGAAAAGGATTCTGACCCTGCCGTTAATCCGCAGGAGATCCTCAATCACTGTAGTGAGATGTAGCTGTTCCTAACTTCCATTTGGGACATTCCAGGAAGATATGGCCTTGGTCTGAGGAGTGTGGCCTTGTCAGTGGAGGGTGGAGTTTCAGGTTTGGTTACGTAGGAGTCAAAGGTAAAGACACTGACGGAGGATGGAGGAGACCACTCACCCCAGAACAGAGGGAATGCACAGTGTCCTGTATCTGTTGTCAGCCGTAGGAGGCCCAGGGAAGAGCTAACAGGCTGAAGAGCCCCCTCAGTTGCTCTGGGAGTAGGCTCAGGGAAGTGAGAGCCTTAGTCTAATGGGAGCAACCCTATTCAGCAGAGGATGTCAGAGCAGCAAAAGAAAGAGGTGCCAGGCCCTGCTAACAGTTAGTTAGCATAATAACCCTGAATGTCAACTGAAACTACTCCCCAACCCCAGAACACAGGGAGCCCAACAGTGTCTGCTGCCACCCCAGTAGGTCCCAAGCTGGGCTGTCAAGCTGCAGCCTAAGACTCACTCTAACTTGCTTTGTGGGGTTCTCAGGGTACAGGCTGACTGGGAGAACTAGTTCCTTGTGGCTTCCTAGATCAGTGATTGCACAGAATCCTGGAATGGCAGTGTTGGTTAAAGCCAAGCTGGTCACTCCCTGCTGACGATGCTCACACTATTTCATTCTCCTTCCACCAGGTGCCTGTCTCAGCAGCCATCCTATTCACACTTCTGTCTGCTGTCCCTGCCTATAGTCATGCCTTGGGGTCAGAAGAGTAAGTTCCACACTCATGAGAAATGCCACTAGGGTCTCCAGGTTACTCATGTCACTGCAGGAGAGGAAGAATCCGTCTCCTTTTGTCCTGTTTTGGGGAGTACTCCTCAAATCTATCTTGCTACTGACATTCTCCAGGAATCTCAGTGGGCCGCCTTCATCATCACTGCTTCTGTAGATGTTTCATGCACAAGATCTGATGAAGATGCCAACAGCCAAAATGAGGAAAAGCCAAGCACCTCTCCAGCAGCAGCCTCCACTCAAGCTCACACAGAGAACCGCTATTCAGGAAGGGAACTTTGGTAGTACAGTTCCTACTGGAGAAGTGTAAGATTAAAGAGCTCATTACAAAAGCAGCATTGCTGGATGTTGTTAACAAAAAGAGCAAGGACCATTTCCCTGAGATCCTCAGGGGAACCTCTGAGTGCATGAAGCTGCTTTTGGCCTGGAATTGAAAGAAGTTGACCCAGTGGTCATTTCAATGCTCTTTTCAGTGAACTGGGTATCCCCAACAACAGGAGTCTGAGTTAGGATAAAGCATTGCCTAAAAATGTTATCTTGATGATGCCCCTGGGTATAAGCTTCACGAAGGGTAAGTCTACCACAGAAGAGGAGATCTGAACATTTCTCAATAAGATTTGGGTATATGCTGGGAGAATGACTTCATATATGAAGAGTCCAGATAAAAGTTAGGTACAGCAATGTACCTAGAGTACCAGCAGGTGTCCAACAGAGATCGTCTACACTATGAATTCCTGTAGAATCCAAGAGCCCATGCTGAAACCAGCAACATGAAAAACCGACGACTTTTGACCAGCATCAATGACGCCATCCAGGAGTTTCTTCTCATCCCTTTATACAAGGCATTGAGACATGAGGAAGAGAGAGCCTGAAGAATGTATGCAGCCAGGAGTGAGGCTAACGCCATGGCCAGCGCACATTGTGGGGCTAACAAACAGCAGTTTCTTCCATGTCAAGTGAAGGTGGTGGGAGATTCTTCACTCTTTTGAAAAATAATGCAGTTAATGTTCTACTTAGTATAGGACCTAGGCAGGACTGAAAAAATATATAGTTTATATGTTCTGTGTGTTTCTGTTCTATGTGAATAACTGGATTTCTTTTGTTTTCAAATATTATTTTTTTTCCTTTTTTTATATTATACTTTAAGTTCTGGGGTACATGTGCAGATCTTGCAGGATTGTTGCATAGGTATACACATGCCATGGTGGTTTGCTGCCTCCATCCCCCCATCACCTACATTAGGTATTTCTCCTAATGTTATCCCTCCCCAATCTCCCCACCCCCTGCTATCCCTATCCTAGCCCTCCATCCCCACCAGACCCCAGTTTGTGATGTTCCCCTCTCTATATTCTTTTATTTTACTTATTTTTCTCCTTCCAACTTTTGTTTAAGATTCAGGGAGTGCACCTGCAGAATTTTTACATGGATAAATAGCACGTTGCTGGGGTTTGGTGTACAAATGATTTCATCACTCAGGTAGTAAGTATAGTACCCAACAGATAGTTTTAAATCCTCACCCTCCTCTCATCCTCCACCCTCAAGTTGAGTCCAGTGTTTATTTTTCCGTTCTTTGTATCTGTGTATATTCAATGTTTAGCTTCCACATGTGAGTGGGAACATGTGGCATGTGGTTTCCTGTTCCTGTGTTAATTTTCTTAGGATAATGGTCTTCAGCTGCATCCATGTTGCTGCAAAGGACATGCTTTCGTTCTTTTTTATGGCTCTGTAGTATTCCATGATGTATATGTGCCACATTTTTTTTTTGTATCCCACTACTGTTGATGGGCATTTAGGTAGATTCCATGTCTTGGCTATTATGAATAGTAACGTGATAAACATATGTATGCATGTCTCTCTATGGTAGAATGTTTTATATTACTTTGGGCATATACTGAGTAATGGGATTGCTGGATCAAATGGTAGACTCTGTTATAAGCTCTTTGAGAAATGTCCAAACTGCTCTTCACAGTGACTGAACTAATTTGCTTGCCTAGTAGCCATGTGTAAGTGTTCCCTTTTCAACACAATCGCACCAGCATTTTTTTTCACTTTTAAATCATAGTCATTCTAATTGGCATGAGATGGCATCTCATTGTGGTCGTGATTAGCATTTCTCTAATGATTGGTAATGTTGAGCATACACAAATCAATAAATGCAATGCATCACATAACCAGAAGTAAAAGCAAAAACTACATCATCATTTTAATAGACGCAGAAAAAGATCTTGATAATATTCCACATCTTTTCATGTTAAAAACCCTTGTCAGACTAGGTATTAAAGAAAGATTTCTCAAAATAATAAGAGCCATCTATGACATACCCACAGTCAACATCATGCTGTATATGCATAAGTTAAAAGCATCTCCCTGAGAACTGGAACAAGAGAAGAATGCCCACTCTCACTAGTCCTATTCAATATTGTTCTGGAAGTCCTAGCCAGAGCAATCAGGAAAAAGAGAAAGGAAGAAATAACAAGGCAACCGAATAGAAAGAGAGGAAGTCAAACTATCTCTCTTTGCAGAAG